AGTGATAACTCTTTCCATTTGTGATATGAAGTCTCTTTTTAATATATTAAATTTAAAAGGCAATTCAACTTACGGAGAAATTTCACAGGCTAGTGAATTCCTATTCATTCCTCAAAACCCACCTCAGATTCATCTCCTTTACCTGCCTTCCCACTCCTTCACAGTTCCATCACCCACTGTCCCTCCTCACCCTCTGTGACACTCAGAACACTACACTATGATAGCACCCCAAGTGTTTACTGTCCAGCACTGTGGTTTAGGCATGGCTTCAGCGTGGGTCCCAAGGATTCCTGTATAGGAATTTACTCCCCATGGTGAGATATGAAGAGAGTGAAAATTTAGGGTCAGACATGTTGACCCAAGCCTGTAATCCTGGGGAGATGAAAGCAGGAGGTTCAGAAGTTTAAAGTTATCCCCAGCTACATTGTGAGTCTGAGGCCAGCCTGGGCTACATGAGACCCTGTTTCAAAAAAATAAATGGTGTTTAAGAATGTAACTCGGTTGGTTGAGTACATTCCCAGAATGCATGAAGCCCTGATTTCAATCCTCAGCAGTGCATAAAACTGGACATGGTAAGCCCAAAGCTCGGGATAGAGGCAGGAAGACTGGAAGTTCAAGGTCTTGATCAGTTACATAGCAAGTTTGAGGCCAGCCTGGGATATTAGAGAAGGGGGGATGGAGAGAAGATAGAGGAGGAGGAGGAAGAGGAAGAGGAGGAGGAGGAGGAGGAGGAGGAGGAGGAGGAGGAGGAGGAAGAGGAGAGGAAAAAAGAATTTTAACTTGAATATAGTATTAATAGGGAAGCTGGGCATGGTCACATGACTTTAATCCCATCAGAGTCAGGTGGTTCTCGGAGTTCGAGGACTGCCTGGTCTACAGAGCAAGTTCCAGGACAGCCAGGGCTACATACTGAGAAATGAAGGAAGGAAAGAAAGAAAAGAAAAGACACTTGGTCCCTCTCTTGCCATGTGATAGATACTATATACTACCTAGGAACTTTGCCAGCAAGAAGGTCATCACCAGACATAGTTCCTGACTTTGGAACAGAATCATGAGCCAAAGTAAACCTCTTCTCTTCAGAACATACCCAGGCTGTGGTATTGTGACATTGGTAACAGGAAAGAAGCTTAATATAGCCAGGTACCAACCAAGCTCTCACAGTACTACCTCACAGTACTGCAGGGCCCAGCTCTCCTGGCCTCTCTTCAGGGATGACAAGATAGCTGTGAAGTCGCCTGTCTGCGGTCACATGGCTCGAGACTGGGTGACTTCAGCCTGTGGCCCTGAGTATCACTGTATACCAGCGGGCACTCTGAGACTTAGGAGTACACAAAGTGTCCCTCACTCTGCCCTGGTCTCACTCAGAGGTGGACCAAGGTTTGGGAGGAACTCTACAGATAAAGACATAGTAATGCGTCTGAGGGGGATTTACAGGCCATGCTGAAAGCCCTGGAAATTCTGTACTGACAGGACTCCAGGACACACTGTGGGCTAAGTCTCTCCCACTTTGCAGAGAGAGAGGAACTGCCTCCTTACCATGGGAGCCTCAGAGAAGCAGGTGAGGTGCCATTTCCTGGCATGAGACCAGGTTGGCCAACACAGAAGACCTGGGCTTGAGCTCAGAGGGTGAAAACTTACTCTCAGGTGGGGCAGTCCTTCCTAGCAGCTACAGGGTGGTAACACATGTGTATACGAGGCTTAGCAGGATGGGAGTGTCCAAGTCACCAAGGGTGAAAGGCATCCCTAGGAAGGTAGAAACCCAAGCGGAGACAGAAAGCAGAGGCTCTAAGGTCAATGGGAGCGTCCGTGAGCAAGCAGGGGGAGGGGGGGGGAGGCAATAGAGTAGACAGCTGTGCCCAGGAGAGAGTTCCAAGCACACCAGGCTCGGGTGCTCTGGTAGAGCTATGGGCTCAGGCACTGGATTGGGAGAGTGACACATAGAGATCTTGGGTCCCTGAGGCATTCCAGGAGAGACTGGCAACTTATCCAAGTGACATGGTGACAGAGGCAAGATAGGGATCCAAAGCCATTCTTGCCTCCCAGGAGTGCACAGTCTCCCCTGATGGCTATGCCTCAGACATGGAGTGCAGATTAAGGGGAGAGGAGGCTAAGAACATCTGGCCCAGGAGAGAAAGGGCCCTGAGGAGAAGAGTTGATAAGCAGAGAAGAGAGGAAGTTGGACTGGGAAGGGATGTTCTCCAGGTATCACCAAGCACAGCTATCTCTGTGCACAAGTGCCCCCTAGCCCAGGGGGATTGGTGGGCAGGGGCTGGGCCCATCCTCAGCTCCACAGTGGGCACCACTTCTGTGACTCACCTCCCAGCTCTGGCCTCAGCCAGCCTCTCTTCCAGTCTTCTGAGAGCTCCTTCCTGCCTGCCTTCTCTTTCTTCCTCTCCCCACACTTAACAGATTGCGGCAGCAAGATGGCACAAATTTATGGCTCAACTCACCAAAAATAACAAGAGATCTATCAAAGGCAGTTTGCGTGAAATTAACAGGCGCCTGTACCCTCTTGTCAAACGCACTCAGCTCCAAAACGGGCCAAGGCACCCCACTGCCCCTGGCCTCCTTCTCGTCTGGTGTCACCCTGGGTCCATCCCGCTTTGTCTTCTGCTGACTTCTCTCAAGGATGCCCCAAAAAGGGTGAACCTAGCTCCCTTCCCTGCCCCAGCTCCTGGCAGAGGTTCCCTTCCTGCTCACCATCCCACAAACCTTGCTTTCTGTCTGGCAGCTCCGTGCCAGCCTATTCTTCATTCTAGGGTGTGGCACAGAGAATGGTGTGGAGGAAGCCCAAGGTCTTGGTGAGAATAGCCATGTGTTCTGGGCCCTGACACAGCTTCTCTGGCCAACAGAAACACCCTGCCCTGACACATGGAATGAACTGAGTCAGGTGCTCGCTGTCTCTCACATCAGAGAGGCTGGGCAGGACGGAGGAGGTGGCAGAGCAGAAGAGCCTCCTGACTGCTTGGAGGAGAGAAAGGGGTTGTGCCAGCCAGCTCTGGGTACCAGTATGCTGGGTAAGTTCAGCTCGCTTATGTCAGCTGATGCCACATCCCCCATACCAGCTCCCTACAGGAACCCTCACTACAGAGCAACCACCTGAAGAGGTGTCAGACGGAAAGGGACAGCGTAAAGGTTATGGCTGAAGATGGCCAAACCCTCCAGCTCAGCCATCTCTGCTCCAAGAACCACAAGAACAACCAGCCATCTAACCACCATCTGTCCCACATGCAAGGGTCCTCCCGCAGGCTCTGATAATACTACTCTTCCGGTCACTGGCCCTCTCTGACTCCCAAAGACGCCCTAGCTACCAACCAGATCCTGCTTCCGGCTTCAACCAACCCCAGCTGGCTGTTCCTGGCTCTGTGCTCCACATGGCAGCCTGCCCAGCCAGTGCCCATCCAGGAGGGCAAAGCCTTGCTCCGTCTACTCCAAACCACTGGGGCCAGTGGACCTCAGGGAAAGCCAAACAAAAGGACTTGCCCTTAGCTGAGCAGAATAGGGGAGGTCCTACAGAGTGACAGTAGTGGCAGCCATGGCCACGCAGGAAGAGCCATAAAACTCCTGATATACGCCTGGCGCTCTCGGCTGATGTTCGACAAAGAAGCAAAATTCAATTTCTTCCTGCAGGCACTAAATCCCAGGCCAGCCTCCAGGGCCCGTAACCTGCCCACGGCCTGCCTGTCACACGGATGGCTTCATCGACCGCTGTTAGAGGCCAAGCTGGCCTGGGAGAGAGGCCACAGCAAGGCCACTGGGTGCTCACTGTGCCCACATGGGCACGATGCCAGATGTTTCATGAGGGAGGCCGAAAAGGTCCCCCACACTGGGAGAGACCATTGCCATAACTCCCCTTATGACCCGGATACCTCCCGGTTTCAGAGAAACCATGCCCCTTGTTAATGATGCAAATCCTCAAAGATAGTGCCCAGCTCCTGGGCTCTAGTCTCCAAAACAGGGCCAGGGAAAGGTCCTGCCCTCTTCCAGTCCTTCCAGTGCCCTCGAGGGAGCCTCCTTGACCCCTTTGTAAATACTCAGACCTAAATGCATCCTTCATCCTCTCCAGGGTAGGCCAGCATTTGGGGAAACTGAGGCCCAGAGAGGCCCAGGGGCTCCCAATACATGGACCAGCTCCCAGACCTACTCTCTCTCCCATCTATCTTTGATATCTATCCCTCTGGCCCCTAAGTCAGTTCTTGGCTTAGCATGGTCACCAAGCATGGAGGGTCCAGCTGGCAGGCAGGAACTGGGATTAGAAGGACAGGAAGCGGGTCAGTGGAAGGTGGCCGTGACTGTGAAGCTTGGGTGGGTGTGGGTTGCAGGCAGGCGCAAGGACTCGAAGAGCTTTTGCCCAGTCAGCAGGAAGTGCCAGCAGCTGGCAGCCTAGGTCCCAGAAGACATGGGCCCAGTGGGGGAGATGGGACACCGGGAGCTGAGCCAGCCCAGCCCTCAGAGGCATCCTCAGAGCTCGGGCCTCTTCACCCGGGCACACTTGTCCTCACCTCCTTCTGCCCTGACCCTGGGGTACTGCCAGAAGTCATTGGCCTGTGTGGGCAGGGGCATATCTCCACTCCCTGTCTACTCCAGCCTCCAGGCGAATTTGTCCACTCACAGCACCAGGGTCTGCCAGGGCCACTTGCTCCAACTTTGGGCTTCAGCGCACTTGTGCTCCATCTGCCTGAGAGGCCCTCACCGCTCCTGTGGTCTGTCTCCTTCTCACCTGTTCTACAGGTCTGTGCTCCCACACCCTTCTCTTCAGGAAGCTCCACTGGCCGTCTAAAGGGCCCCTGCCCAGGTATCTACCTCACTCTGAACTCCCTCATCTGCATCCCGCTCAAGTGAGATCTGATTTTGATGACCTTTCCATCCCGACAAGGCTGAGCGCAGAGGCGACATCCGTGAATGACTCTGCAAATGGCTGGGACCGGCCAGGATGAACACTAGCAGACACCAGCAGTCCCCTCAATGCCCCACCCCCATCAGGCCTTGCTCACACTCACCATATCTCATCTCGGTGGTGAACAGGTCATTGCTGCTCCCCGAGTGCAAGTCAGCCTCAGCAGGAGGGGCTGGGCCCCCAGGCACCAGGGCATTGGATAGGGTGTGGGCAGCCGGAGGCCCAGGAGGTGTGGTGGTGGCAGGGCTGGCCCCAGCCTCCCCAGGGCAGCTACACCCTGGCTGAGCAAAGCCACAAGCCCGGCCTGCAGCCCGGCCACACTCCTCACTCCAGCGGCAGAGCACGCCGCAGGTGAACTGGCTGGAGTTGTTGTTGTTGATAAGCAAAACCTCCACAAAGCGGAAGGCCAGGGCAGCAGGCGCTAGCAGACGCGGGGCCTCGGAGGGCTCAGCCGACAGGCACAGCTGCACAAAGTTCTTGTCGAAGTGCAGAAAGGTAAAGGGGCCTGAGCCACCGCACAGCTCCAACCCCGATGCTGCCGCCTCCTCCTCCTCCTCCTCTGGCCGCCCCACCTCTGATTCTGCTCGGGCTGTGGCTTCCTCTGGACCAGGCCGCAGGCAGGTAAAGTTGACCAGGTAGTGGTCCAGGGGCAGCAGGCGCGGGGCAAAGTGTGTGCACACCTGCTCCTGCCGGTTGAAGCGCAGGTAGAGGGAGTACTTGGTGGGGTCTGGGTTCTCCAGGGTCCAGGAGCAGCCCGAGGCGATGGTGGGAAAGAGGTCCTGCAGCGAGAAGGCCCCGTAGAGCACGCCCGAGGCCAGGGCAGAGCAGGCACTGGGGGCAGGGTCGAAGGCCGTGGCCAGGCGCAGGGACAGAATCACAGACAGTAAGAGGGGACAGGCTGGGGTCATCCTATGTCCCTTGCCCTGTGGGAAAAAAACAGAAGTCAGCAGGGGGCCCAGGTCAGTCAGCAAGTGCCCTGGGGCTCCAGTGACCAGTCGCAAGCAGTAGGGCCTGTGGTTCTGATCATGGTCTTTTAAGTCACTTGGGCCTGTCTGTGACCTTAGACCAAGCGGATGATCTCTCTCTACCTTGGTTTTTCTTCCTGTAAAATGGCTGGAGCTATCTCATAGTATCCTATAAATTTTACCTTTCTCATCTCTCCTACAAGGGCAAAATGAGATAACTTAGGGGAAAGTTCCAGAAGGAGGCTTGGATGCTGGTGATTTCTAAGAGCCTTATCAATATCACGTAGAGCTCCGCCTACTCAGCGTGCCCACCAGAGGTGTCTGGGCCTGACATACACATCCAGTGCCATCCCTACACCCCTTGATCCTCCAGAGACACTGCTCTCAGTCACAGCATGTCGTGATCAGCAGCGAGGAGTGCCGTGTGTAATCCAGCAGCCAAAGTGGCGGTGTTTGACAACCATTTGCTTTTTTATAAATCAGCGAGATTCAAGGTTATTCCCGGAACAATGTTCTCACTCTCTCCCTTCACTGAGCAAGAGAGGAAGGGGCGGAGTTACTGCCAGGTGCCAGGAACTGTGCCCAACCCAGCCGTTGCCCATGGAAGGCAGGATATTGCCTGTGTGAATGCCATGGGTTCCGCTGCTGTGGGAATGAGGGAGGTACCAGGCTTTGGCCCAGCTCAGTTAGCCACTAGCTGGGTGGGTGAGCCTCATGAACCTTGGTTTTCCGATCTACAAAATGGGCACAGTCATTCCCACCATAGCCCCCCTCTTCCTGTCTTCTCCACAGGATTAGCTTCCAAGGCCTGGCAAAGGGCCCACTGCTCTCAGTGTGTTCTCTCAATGTCTGAAGAGTGAAGTCTCTTGACTTCCTTCCCTCAAAGTGCTATGCTCAGCCCATCACTCAGCAAGAGCAAATTCTCTCCAGGCAGGGCACATAAGACCCAAGACCCACCCTGCAAGGTAATCAGGCCAGGAGGCGGTAACTACCTTCCCACCCGACAGACCAGGCAGAGAACCGCTGACTGCTCCCACCCAGCCTCTACCCCAGTGCCTCAAAACAGCCTGGTACAAATCTAGATCTGCCTCTCTTCCAGTCCACTTGTAACATGGCCACACAGCCTCTGTCCTCCCTGCCACCACACAGCCCACGGGACTGCACAGACTCATATAATTCAGAGCTTCCATGTTAGAGAAAAATATAAGGCCACCTGCTCAAAATCACGTGATGGTGGACTAGTTAGAACTGGAACTCAGGACCTCAGTCCAGGCCCACGATTGTTCCCCCGTATCCCATCCCCACCTGCCCGTACCCCCACTCCCACTCCCACCCCAGGACTTCTTGCTTCTGTTCTCTCTTAGCTTGTTGCTCGGGATTCCACCAAGTGGACAAGCCCACAGCTTGGCTAGGTTTTCCACAGGACAGCCCACAGCTGTGGCTAGGTTTTCCTGAGATACAGCTGTCCCCTAGGAACAAATTTCCCCAGGACTGTTCTAAATAGTTCCAGGAGCAGGGGACAGATATTTGAGCCCCAGTCATCCCAGCCGGCTGCAGCATGCACAGAGTTCCAAATACTACTTTCCCATGTGGGGCACCTCTGAGCCAGGCCCGAGACCCAGGCATAGATGTGCACTGTCCTTCTCCAACCATCCCAGAAAGGAAGGAGTCCAGGCAGCACCAGGCTCACTCAGTGAAGAGGAGCTGCCCCACCCTCCTCCAAAGACCAACAGAAGCCAGGACAGGCTGTCTCTGCCCTACTCTCCTCAGCAAGGCTGAAAAAGATGCCGGAGCCCTGGCCTTCCCTCCTGCAATCATGCCTGTCCCAAAGTGTTCAGCCCGCCCAGCCTGCTGCGGCAACCAGCGAAGCTGGCAGAGGGTGATGAGTGACATCCAATCCCCCCTGCTGCCCCCAATTATTTTTAAGCAGGCTGCAAAATTCAGGCCATGGCTGCAGCTCAGCAGAGGGGAGGTGGGGGCTCATTATAACTGGCCTCCCCTCCCCCACCTAGAGCAAGGCAAGGAACCTCTTCCCCATGTATATATGCCTCAACAGACCTGGGCTTCAACAGACTGGAGCCCGGAGACATATACATACTCAAAAGCATGCACACACGGATATGTGTGTGTGTGTGTGTGTGTGTGTGTGTGTGCACGTGCTTGTGCATTTACAGTGTTCTCTATGTGAACAGGCATACATGCATGCAGGTCTGTGACAAGCACAGCATTATGACCTCATATATACATGCGAGTGCACACACCACACGCCACACAGTGAAGTCAGACCACAGTACACATACAGAGATGCATCTATTCCCACGTGTGGACACGTACAGGTGCTTGGCCCTGTGACCCTGTATATGACAGCTAATTGGGTGGGACTGTCCTTGCGTGAGTCTGCCCATTACTCCCTCTCTGTGTCTTTAAAGCTGGGGGGGCATCACAGAGCCCTGGTCCCATCTCTTGGACCTCTGCTGCTCCCAGTTCATCAAGAAACACTAAGCCCAAACTGGTCCTTGCCAAGGTCTGGCTTCTCCAGAAGGGAGCCACCTGTACACACTGGCCCGTTCCCACATCCACTTAGTCTCCTTCAGACATCCCATAACCAGTCCAGGATTTTACCCTGCCCTCAGGGTATGACCTTCATTGCTCCATAGCTTCTGCTTCAAAAAGAGACTAAGGCTGAGAGAAGGTATTTTACCTTCCTACCCTTCACATTAAAGACTCAGCTGGAGCTGGGTCACAGCCATGGTCTCATTCGACATCTTCCTGAAGTGTACGGTGGTGGCCTGTCCTCCTAGAGACATGGACCCTGAGCCCATACCCAAGAAAAAGACTTGCAATGATCCAAATGGTTATCATCCATGTATAACTTCCTGGGCCTCAGTTTCCCTCTCTGGGGAATACCCTTGGAATGGCACATGCCTTCTCCATCTGCCTCCCTAACACATAGTCTGACCCACCACAAACCGATGAGCTCTGTTCCTGGTCTCTTAGAACTGTGCTGATACTCTTCTTGCCTGAGGTCCGGGTTCCTGCACCGGGGGATGCTCTTTGGGTTAATCCAAGAGTAGTATTGTCACCTCAAAGTTGAGGAGGACCACAGACCCTCCCAAGATACAAGTGCTAGAAAGTAGAGAGGCCAAGGTCAGCTCTAAGGCAGAACTTCCTGGGTCAAACAAGGTTGGTGATGGCCTAAGGGCTTCAGGACTTTCCTTCACTGAGATGGGAGAGGAGCTGTCTGGAGTAGTCTTTCTTTCTCAGGGACCCAGTCCTCAGCTTAAGTACTCCCAGAATTCCCAGGAGTTCCTCTCTGCCTAGGTTCAGAGAGAACCTAGGGGAACCTGTAAGACCCCACAGACCTGCCAGCCTCGGGCTTCCTAAAAAAGATACTAAGGAGCTGGAGAGAAAGGTGAAGAGCAGAGGGGGTGGGGCACCTCCGGGCCGGCTCTCCGGAGTGTCCCCTGGATCAGATCGACTCTAGTATACAGGGAGATCAGATGTGAGCTTGGACACTGGGTAGGGAGTGGAAAGCCCTGGCCTTGGACGGGGGAGGGGAGACTAACGGGGGAAGGGGGCGCGGTGACGCGCACATCCGTCGCGTTTATCCACCTGGCAGCTCCAATTCACGCGCCCGTCACTCATCCTCGGCCTCATCTGTGCCTGCCACGGGGCCTCCGGGTCTCCCGCCCGGGCTTCGAGCTGGGGGCAGGGTGCTCGGGGACTCCTCTCCAAGAGCTCTGGCACCCAGGGAGGCGCACACCCTCCATCCAGCCTCCCGAGCTAGGGGGCGGGACCGAAGGAGCGGGCGACCCGGGTGAGGCCCTCCCGGACCGATGACAGAGAGGGTCGCTCCGGAGGCCTGCCGCAGACACCGAGAGAAAGGCTGGCCGAGCAGACTGGGATGAGGGGCGGCCCCCGGGGGCGGGGGCGTTCGGGTGGCAGGGGAGGGGGCGGTGACTCAGCCGCCCTCCGCCCGCCTCCCCGGAACTTTGCAGCAGCTGGAGCGGTTGCTACAGGAACCGAAAGCTTTTGTTCCCCAGTGTCAGGGCTGCCCCGGCGGGAGGATAGCTCAGAGGCTGCCACTCCCCGCTAGAACCCAGGTCCAGCCACACCGCCAGAAGACGAATAACCGAATAACAGAGAGCACCACGGGTTCGTGTCTCTTTCCTCCTCCTACCAGCCCTTCACTGAAGCGTTCACGTCAAGGCTAGGCTTCTCCAAACTCCACAGCTCTCAGGCCAGGTTGCCCCTAACTCTGACCTGCAGCGCTAAGAAACCTGTAAAGTTCCTAAGGATGTCTGATCCCCAAGGGTTGGGAAGAGGGAAAGGCTCTGTATGTCAGAGTGGCTGGTTTTCCATGTGGGCCACCTCTAAAGGACTGCCTGCCTTTGGGCACCTTGGCTCACATCTCTGTACTGATTCTACTCCCCTAGACTGTATACTTTAATCTGGACCTCAGAGCTTTTGGCTTGGCCTTCACTGTTGCCCTGTGAGCATGGAGGATCCAGATGTTGCAGAACTAGGGAGGAAGAGGCAGAAACTAACAGGCACAGGCTTCCTGGACCCATTGGGGGTTAGAGGGGTGAAGGTACTTTCTGTCTTTATTATTCTAAAGGTTAGAGTGAAGAAAATAGAACTCGTTTCATGTTCCTCCTTGGGATTAGCAGCCGGGAGGGACCTGACCTTGGCTTTGATGGGAAACACCACAAGGCATCATCATGAGTATTGATAGGTGTCAAGACACTTCACAGCACAATCTGATTCCACTTCCCAACAACCATATGGGGCAGTGGTCACTGACCCATTTTATAGGGGGTCAACTGAGGCTAGGAAAGGTTAAGTAGTGTGGCCAGATCACACAGGTTTTGAACCCAGATCACCAGATCAAAAGCTGAGTCTCAGCTACTTACCTTCAAAAGGTGAGGGTTGGAAGGGAGGGAAGAAAGACT